ACTCGCGCCATTTGCCCGCCGGAGGTATCCCTTCGACCGTCTGAGCATTAGGTAATCATGATCTGGCGACAGTACAAAGAAATGGGATAACTGACCCATGACGAAAAGTAACGTGATTTTGAATGAAAGAGGTGAGTAGTGGTGTTTACTGTAATGGCCTACCAGTGACATCATATATGAATTTAGGAAAGAATGCTGAGCTCTTGCGCTGCCTTCGCCATGCGCGGAAATTACGATTTGTAATACATCCTCGGATTCGAAGAATAAGGACTTCTTCAGTAGGTGTACCTCACTCTCCATTCAGAAACATTTTAAACATATCTTGTGTAGCCTCTGTTCTCATTTTCGCTCAGTTATCCTATGTCACTTATTGTGTTCTTAACTCAATTCCACTCGGTTGTTATAGGCGATTCCTATGCGTATAGCGGCCGTGGCCCTGCAGACATTTGAACACGGTGAAAAACTTGTCAAATCTCCATTTTGAAGCATTAGTTTTTGTACTCTCTAGATATCAGAAACTGCCACGCGAATACGTTGGCAAACGTCGGCAAAGCTCCGCCCGCCTGTACTATGGGGAAAGAGCGAAACAATAACAATCCTAGAACTTGTGTTTGTCATTTACTACCATACATAAATAGTATTATGCCTTGTATTGTTCCGTCCTTTCAAAAAATCTAGTTTTGAGTGCGAGTTCAAGGCCCAGAGAGCTAGTTTGTGGGGTTTAGATGCTGTAACTGGGTTCAAAGCTTAATCAGAGCCGATTTGATTGGGAGGGTGGGGGGCGGGAATACAAGTTTCGGTAGAATCCAGGGCACGAGTCGGATACCCGCCGGGGGGGGGGGAGAGGGTGAGGCCCCAGAGGCATTCGAAAATGCCCCGGATGGATTCGAGCAATTGTTAAGTAGTAGTAAGAGGAATGCAGTTCACTTACAGCTGCAAGGTGAGCTGTTAGCAACTCAACCCAAAGCCTTATACAGAATTTGTTTCCTGAGCTTTTTAACACGTTTCGGACCGGTGCTGCGCATGGTGCAGCACGCTGCTTTGAAGAATCTTTTCAATTTTTGCAGGAGGTTTTTTTTGTCCAAGGTCGTCAAATCAAAGGCCTAAGCTCCTCCTTTTCAAGTGACTCTGTAGTGCTGTGTCGACGGTTTTTGTTTAGAAGATATGAGGAAAAATCGAACAACGGTTGCAACGAAGTGCGGCAACGCGAACGACGCGTGCGACGTCGCAACTTTTCTTTGCTCCTTTTCAAAGAGAAGAAACGTGGTTTCAGTAATGATGCGTACTGTGTACAACATAGATACTTTTCGATAGTATTAGAAACTGGGTTGTTGTTCCTATCTTTCAAGAAAGCACAGAAGTCCTTCTGAAGCGGCAAAATTCAAACACTTTGAATTTACTCAGAACTTTGGGTATGGATCTTATCTGACTTGTTGATTACAAATGTAGCACACAATCTACGAATCAGGGTCCTTTTGTTGGCTAACGGCTGAAAGTACCCTCTTTTTCGCCGCGCGCGATTTCGCGGTCCGAAACGTGTTAACACGTTCCGGACCGCAAAATCGCGCGCGGCGAAAAAGAGTGCACTTTCGGCCGTTAGCCAGCAAAGGAACCTTATTTCGCAGGTTGTGGACTACATCTGTACACAGCATGCCAGATAAGCTCCATACCCAAAGTTCTGGGTAAATTCGAAGCGTTTGAATTTTGTCGCTTGAGAGGGACTTTTGTGCTTTCTTGAAAGATAGGAGCAAGAACTCAGTTTCAAACAGTACCTAAAGCTATCTATGTTGTACACTATACTCATCACTATGTAATTAAGGTTTATCTCTTTGAAATCGGAGCAAAGGAAAGTTGCGACATCGCACGCGTCGTTCGCGTTGCCGCACTTCGTTGCGACTGTTGTCCGATTTGTCCTTATATCTCGTAAACAAATATCAGCGGCACAGCTCTACAGAGTCATTTGAAAATCAAGCTTTGACTCAATAACTTCGGACTCAAAGAAAACCTCCTACAAACGTCAGAAAGAACCTTCAAATCAGCGTGCTGCACCATGTGCAGCACCGGTCCGACACGTGTTAAGCCTTCAAGTAATCTAAAATTTTCCTTCTAAAACCATGTAAAGTCAACACTTCGAAAATCATAATCAAACTTGCACACAGTCGCACAGCAACCGCTCTGAAGTAGCTATGAAATTATGTCTAAAATAATCAGTTTTGCTTGAGAAATAACGCTACCTTCAAACAACAACACTCTTCTTTTCAGATAAGCTTTTTAAAAGACGCATCGAAACCAGTTCAGGCTTTCATGAACTGGCAAGGCAACTGGCAGGATACAATTCAATGCGAGCTTCCACAAATATTTTGTGCGTCGCTTTTTTACCACGTTTTGGGTGTGATTAAGGCTACCAGTTAGTTTTACATAAAATACATTAAATTACATCGTTCAAGAAATGTTCACTTGGCAGCACAAGCACACAGTGGTGGTAAAAAGTTTGCAGCCAATCTGGAATTTTGCTACATTTTACTCTGCTCCGCTTAACCCGAGTCCATATTTCGATACTACGTGCAAATCACACTGCACAATACTATGCGGAAAAAATTGCGGTTTTATGCACACAGAATTGCTTTGGCAAAAATGGCGGAAACGACAAAACTTGCAGCCACTTTTTGCTAAACATCTTTGGAAAATTTGTCACCTCCCGGTATCTGGGCTACAGATGCATTTGTAAGCCTTAAGATAAGCAGTGCAGCCAGCATTTGTCAACTCCAATGAAGGAGACTTTACGAAGGGAATTTGCTTAAACGCCAAATGACAAATCACATTCATCCACAAAAATTGGATAACTTGTCAGGTCGTCAAAAGTAAACGGCTGATTGGAGCCCCTATAGAAAGATTGTACCATCTGTATGTTTGTTGAGCAATGCGAATGTGACAGAAAAAATATTGCTAAAAATTCTTTAAAATCTAACCTCACCTTAACTCAAATTCAAAGCCCCTTTCAGCGCAATCGGGCTCAGTTCTAAAGGGTTCTCAAACTTGATGAAAACCCTGCCTTTACAAAGACAAAAAAATCCTGCTTTTACAAGGACAAACACTGGTCGAAAGCACGCAGAGCTACATTGGAATCATAAACGCACTACAGCCACAAAAAATTTGCACTATTCTCACAACAGATAGTCCCCTTTCGCAAAACGAATATTTATATGTTGTAGCCCCAAAACTTTTCTCTGGCAGTAGCGCCTCCAAGTTAATGAAGCTCTGCGTGCTTTCAACTGCTTATCTTTGTAAAAGCAGGGTTTTTATCTCACTCTTTGGACCACTGAACCATTTTGAGCCGAAAGGTTCTCCGAATCTGAGTTGAGGTGACGGTATTTTAAAGGATGGCAAGTAGCTCTTTTTCTGTCACATTCGCAAACACCACTGAAAGGTCCAGGGACGGTAGTAATCCCCCCTACCAGGCGGCATGTTTCGCCGTCAGGTCGCCGTCAACTTTACGTGAAGTCGGCGGGAACACCGACCTCAAATCATTTGTGCCTTCCAAACTTTTTTCACCACGTTTTCCTGGTCGAGGTGGTCATTACGACCTTGGAGAGCCTCGCCTGGCAACTGGAGATTTCAAAAACCCCCCTAAACAGAATTGTTGAGATAGGCAGGAAGTGCTGGAGGCAACTTCGCGAGCTGACCTGGCGGCATCTCGTCGGAAATTAGCGTTGAGGGATGCCGCCAGGTCAGAGAGCACGAGAAATAGCGTGCTCATTTGAGAGATCAAGCCACCACCCCGACATGCCCCTACCACGTCGAGATGGCGGCACCTTGCTGGCGGCGTCTGCAAGTTTGCGTCACGCGGCAATATCACACAATTTACGTCCAGCAAAAAAACCAAAAAATTTTGTTTTGGAATATCTATCACTTGCCATTGTATGGGTTTTTCTCCTCCAAACTGATGATATGTATGCACAAGAAACGACTTCTGATATTATAACACCATAAATACGCCATTTTCATCCTGCAGTTGCTTCAAATCTCATTTGCGACGGTTTCGTCTTTCGCTCGCTCTTATCATTCAGCTGTTTTTTCAGGTCAACGCCCGTCGCGCATTGCATTGAACATGCTCACATACAGGCGCTCATTACTTAGGCAGCGTTTCTAACGAGTGGTCGAATGGTTGATGTGGCGGCGCTTGAGGTTGACGCATGCAGGTTCGAACCCGCGCTATGTCGATGTTTTGCGGCTATAAGCGGCATCAAAAATTCCATGTGCATAGGACTGCGGAATAAGACTGATTAAGACTATTAGACCAACCCGCGAGCTGCCGCCAGAGTTGGCAATTCTCCGTGATGTGTGCCAACTCGGCGGCATTAATGATGCCACCAGGTAGGGTAGATTACTACCGGCCCAGAAGTACAACCTTTTCATAGGAGCACGAATCAGCCGATGACGTCTCGACAACCTGACAATTTATTCATCTTCGCGGTCATTTGGCGTTCAAGCAAATTTCATCAGTAAAAGCTGTGTTCAGTAAAAGCTCCTTTTGGGGGGGGGGGGGGGCGGGTGACTATGCTGACTGCGCTGCATATCTTAAGGAAAGTGGCTGAAATTTTTGAACGACCTGGATTTTCCGTTTTCATTATTTTTCCCAAAGCCCCTTTCTATGTGCATGAGACGCAAAATTTTGAGCAGTGTTAAACAGTCTGATTGCACAAAATAACGTTTGGACTCTTTTACTTAAGGTAAGATTATGGCAAAACTCGAAAGTAGTTGTATTTCTGGCCAGCAATGTATATCACAAAGAATACGAAAAAGGGAAGACGAACGCAGTATGACACTTCTCATAATATGTAAGGCAGAGAAATATTTTAAGATGGTGGAACAAGAACGCGAATTTCGAAGGAGCAGCTGGACGACGATGAGATCAAAGAAGAAATTACCAACAAGCTTAGCAAAGTTAGCTCATATGTACCTTCGGAAGCTAAAGTATTTAAATTTTGAAATTCACTGACCAGAAATTTCCAGAGATGTGCAAACCAGTAATATTAGCATCAAAAGACAAAGCTGAATGCTTTGGTTATTAACTGACTAAAGCATCTTATGATTTAGCAGTGATGAGGCCCGACGCACCATTTTAGAGGTCGATGCATGTGGAAATGAAGCGATAAATTGAAAAGCTTATCACAAGGAAGCGATCAACTCAAAAGCTTAACAGAATGTTTTCCTTAGCGGGAAAGGACACTTGACCGTGGTCTGGTATGTGGCATATGCCATAACCTTCGCCTTAGACGTCAATCTCAAAAGCGTATTAGTTATCTGCGTAACGATTTTTCAAAAGAACCTTATCTGCTTGCGGCTATCTCTTTTCAGAAAAGCGTTCCGCAGACAACGAACACATCTCGGGGTCAGCGTTTCAAGGTAAAGAAGCAAGTTTTCATTCGTCATACTCAAACAATCGCCGGGGGCAGGCTGGCACCGGAAAGTAGATGGCTGATTTCTCGCACCCTGCTCGCAGATTTTTCAAAAAGCAGTCAGGACTTCTCAGTAGGCCGCTTGCTGAGTTCGCGACTCTTCAGAATTTCAACAATATATCTGCAAAAGATAACAGCGGAAAAAAATTCAACGCGCGGTCTCTCAAAAACTTGCTGACCATTTTTCTGAAATTTACGAGCGGAATGCAAAATTTTAGCAACGCGTGTTTTCCGGCGCCCGCCTGCCCCCAACGATTGCCTGAGTATTGGTATGTATTTAGTAGAGAAAAGTTACAATCCTGCACCCATCCGGTAGTATAAACTTGCCAAATTTCTCGCAACACGATGACGGCCACTGCTGATGCTTACGCCCTATGCACGCCCTGACTCCCGTTTGCCTTTTTCATCCATACGTGCGTATGCATGCCGTTCTAGAGGTGTAGGCGAAAAGTCCTGAGGTACAATGCATTTGACGGGGCCAGCGCCGCGTAGTGCAGTCACACACCTGCGCTCGAGCGCTACCTAGGCGCAGCGTGCAAGGACCATTCCGCGCAAAGCGGCGTAGTCCTCATTTTAGCTACTCTTCCTGCTTCTTTCTTAGCTTATTCTCTGTCCTGCTTTCGAATTTCTGAGCTCCCCTTGTCTTAAACTCTACTTCATTAGTTTTTGACATTTTTCAAAGTACCACCGCGCAAATGGAAGAGACGAAATAGAGGTTTGAGGTCTTTCAAAGAAGAAATAATCTAATCATTTCATTTAAGAATTCTGAGAACAACTGATATTCTTCCTCCTTACAGCTAAAGGTGATTATGGTAAGATTAATCGTATATCATGTAGGTTGAGAAAACAGTTTGAGTGAACAGCAGTTGGCGCTGTCCACTCAAACGATATACGATTACCTCTATTGAAGCGCGAGTCGATATAATGAATCATGACACCCGCATCAGTCATCCGAAGAAGCCTGAATGAAATTAAAGATGTCATGGGGAAAACGCTCAAAGAACTGATATTTCCTTCCTTTGCTCCGAAAAAATCGTATCCATTATCAGGGTAGACCGCATATGAGCACAAAAGCGAAAAAAAAAATGATAACCCGCTGCTAAAAAAACGGAAAAATACAAGATATAATGATAAAAACAAGGTCCGCGATGCTGTGTGCAGCATGGTTCCCGCACGATGCGTATACGGTAGCGCTCGCGCTCGCTCGCTCGTGTGTGACTGCACTACGCGGTGCGGCCCCGTCAAAAGCATTGTACTTTATATGCAGCAAGCATCGTTGGCCTGATTGCCATTTCGAACAGAAGGCATCGCGGTAGCTGTTTAATAGTTTCGACCAGAAACTTAAGTATTCTTTCAATTTATATGTGGTAAATATGGTAAATATATGCCAGTTATGATTTTTAGAAAAATGAAAGCCCTGTATAGCTGTTTTGAGGGCAATCAAGGATGAATTCACTTAGAAAAAACTCACTATTATGGCGTTTTTTTCAAACAATTTTCCAGACACAGCCTTTGTATCGTATATTGAAAAGAGGGATGCAAAAAGCTTCACATGGTAATTTTTGGTGAGTTTCGAGATGCTTGTAGTCTGAAGTATTTCGCAATATTCTTTCATAATAAATTTGTGTATATGCGCGCTTGCACGAGCAAAATGCGGTGGACACGCGGCTAATGGAACTTTCATCCAAAACGGCTAGGTCATCAGCGTTAAATTGATTCAAAAAATTATGACAGCTATGGGACGCAGCAGGTACTGTAGTATGTCTCGTTAGTAACAATATCTTAGACGTCATGTATGATTCTAGCCATACCCTCGATACATAGAGCCACATACTCTAGTAACCTTCACTTTTAGGGCTATGAGGGGACACAACCTTCACCTGGAGAAAAACAGAAGTTATCCGGGGCTTCGCCCTGGATGTTATTGTCCTTAATATAGGGTGCGGAAAAAGTACTGTCCCTCCAACTTGGCACCTAAAATACCCCAACATAAAGTAAATCTGTAGTTTTTTATTTCCCACACGTAGGCGAGATCCCTGAGATTAGATAAGGATAAGTTTGATTTGGAAGTGTTCCCTTCTGTCCGTTTAAACGAGTGATAACGCGCGCAAGAACACTAGCGATGCGCCGATAGCATACAAGCACGATTTTGGACCGTAACTATACCACCAGCATTGATATAAGGTTCAAATTAAGCTGTTATGTAGTGCATGACCTCTTCTTCAATTTTCTATACTTATTATAGATGATTTATAGATTAGTGACTCTTGTTTTGGCCCAATAAGGAAGATTATACCACACGCAATTCGCAAAAATGCTCGAAAAAAGGGCGATTCAGGATTGCGGTTGTTCAATGAATTGGACTCAAACTATGATTTGAAATTCCAGATTCCAACAAAAAGTAACAGGAATAATGAAAAGAGCATCGAACTTTGTCTACATCATAATTTTGGAGCTAAAAGATTATACATAGTTTCTGTGCCACGTTTTCTGATCGCACTCTGTTGCGCCGCAGTCACTTTCTCGTTAGAAAAATTTACAGCATTTCTCCTAGTGCAAGTGCTGACTGGATACTTTCAAAATATTTCGGGATCCATTACCACATTCCTTAAGCAGTAGAGGATTTCTCAAGTTCGCGTGACAAACAAAAAAATTTCTTAAAAATCCTCACACTTCTTCAGATTTGTAAAGGGGAGTTGCAAGATTTGATATGAGATGCGCTGCGGAAAGGGATCCGCCGCCGGGTAAAATTGTAGAATTTTGAAGCCAGTTTTTGTAAAATGATAGAATATTTTCCCATGATGGGAATTATTTCAAATTACCAGAAAAACTTGTGAATTACGCCAATTTTTTAACCTTTATTTTGAGGGACAGTATTTTTTTCGCACCCTGTAAATATCGGAACGTATGTTTATGAAGCAAATACAATACCGCTCACAGAATGTGCAAAATTTCCGTAAATGTCGCAGAATTCCGAGAATTCCGCGAAGGTTCGCCAAATTCCGGGAATTTTGCGACATTCCCGGAATTTCGCGACATTCCCGAAATTTCGCGAACCTTCGCGAAATTCTCGGAATTCTGCGACATTTACGGAAATTTTGCACATTCTGTGAGCGGTATTGTATAGGGAATAATACAATACCGCTCACAGAATGTGCAAAGTTTCCGTGAATGTCGCAGAATTCCGGGAATTCCGCGAAGGTTCGCGAAATTCCGGGAATTTCGCGACATTCCCGGAATTTCGCGAAATCCATGTAAATCACGCAAATTACGCAGGGTCATAACTTCTTTCCGAATCAGTGTATTCAAAATCCGAAAGCAGCATTGTATTCAGCTCGTCAAGGCAAATCTTTTGATATACGATGTCTCCAATATCTTGTTTTCAATAATCTTGAATTTGCATGCGGACGCCTCTTCGCATGGGCGTAACGTAACGAGCATCACACATAGGAGACTGCCGTGGGCACCATTCAATAGTACTCTTTCAGTAGATTATTCTGCGCTAAACAGCAGCCGAAGACCCTCTTTTAAAGGAGACAGAAGAGCTGATAAACTCTGGAAAAATTAAGCTGTTCCAAGTTCTACCAGCCGTAACTTCCTTCAAAATGAACATTTTCGAAATCCGAAAGCAACATTGTGTTCAGCTCGTCAACGCGAATCTTACTGTGTACGACATGCCCTTGAAATTCCGTTTCCAATTTTTTCAAAATTTTCTGCGCGCGTATATTCACAAGGTCGCAACGCAGCGCACATCAAACATAAAAGACTCCAATAAGCACTGTTGGATTGTGCTGCTTCCGCAGATTACCGAGCGCTAAAAAGCCACCGGAGAATCTTCTTGAAAAAAAATAGAAGAGCTGGTGAATTCTAGAAAAATCGTGCTGTCTCAAATTTTGCCCACTGTAACCCTAAAATGGGAAGCTCTCCTGCTAAGCAAATGTGATTCTCGTAATCAGCAGGTAGATAACCTCTTTGAGCGAAGTTTCCTTATAATCCAAGATCATCGACATTTTGATTAAAACCCATCGGCGAGCTTCAGGGCGTAGAACGAGAAAAAATCAAATCACCCGAATTTCTTTGAAAACTTGCTCATAGAGGTTATCTGACCTGCTGATTACGAAAATCACATTTGCTTAGCAGGAGAGCTTCCCATTTTAGGGTTACAGTGGGCAAAATTTGAGACAGCACGATTTTTCTAGAATTCACCAGCTCTTCCATTTTTTTTCAAGAAGATTCTCCGGTGGCTTTTTAGCGCTCGGTAATCTGCGGAAGCAGCACAATCCAACAGTGCTTATTGGAGTCTTTTATGTTTGATGTGCGCTGCGTTGCGACCTTGTGAATATACGCGCGCAGAAAATTTTGAAAAAATTGGAAACGGAATTTCAAGGGCATGCTGTACACAGTAAGATTCGCCTTGACGAGCTGAACACAATGTTGCTTTCGGATTTCGAAAATGTTCATTTTGAAGGAAGTTACGGCTGGTAGAACTTGGAACAGCTTAATTTTTCCAGAGTTTATCAGCTCTTCTGTCTCCTTTAAAAAAGGGTCTTCGGCTGCTGTTTAGCGCAGAATAATCTACTGAAAGTGTACTATTGAATGGTGCCCACGGCAGCCTCCTACGTATGATGCTCGTTGCGTTACCACCATGCGAAGAGGCGTCCGCGTGCAAATTCAAGATCATTGAAAA